GCTGATGCTCAAGAGACTTATATCTCGGCTGGAAATAGAAGCTCACACAATGGAAGCAGGGATAGGAATACTCGCCTTGGTCCTTATGAACATGAGGAAGTGGTGGTGGATGAAGCCTTCTCAAGTAATGAGCGTGGCCAAATTGATGGTAGAATGGTACAAGTAAGTCCACAAAAGAAGAGGCTAGCCAGTATGATTACATCTCCACATATGCAGGATAATGTGACGGTTCGTCCAAAAAGTGTGGTGCGTTCTTTGACATACTACACTGATAATCATGTGTTTGAAGATGATGCTGCACTAGTAATTGAGGCTTTATCTGCTATGGGAGCTGCTATGAACGAGGAAGTGGAAAGAATGGATGAGGAGGATGATCTTTTTGATGAGGAACTCAAGGACTTGGAAGCACCGCCGCCACAACATATCCCACACCACACTGAGAAGGATAGAAGCTCAAGAAATTCGAAAGGAGGGAGGAACGGGAACAGACGAACTCGTAGGAAAAAAGAGGTTCTCCGTCGGGGATCTCCATGCTTGAGAGTCCTAAGTTCTACTACTCAGAGACACACTGGGGAGAAGGCTAAACCAAAACATCTCAGCCTTAATGCTAGAGTGGATCGGTCTAAGGAAAACAAAGCAAGTGGTGCGGTGGGATCCAAAAACCCATCCCACTTTCATCCATGAAGACACTCAGTTGGAACTGTCGAGGGATTGGGACTGACCTCACAGTTCGACGCCTTACGGAGATGTGTCAGAAGCATCGCCCAGGACTAGTGTTCCTTTCTGAAACAAAGAATAGGAGGCTGCTGTTGCAAGACATTCAGGCCGACTTAGGATTTGATCGTTTGTTTACCGTTGAGCCACTTGGTCTCAGTGGAGGTTTAGCTTTATTTTTTATGGATGATTTTCAAGTTAAGATTTTATTTTTGAATAACAGAATGATTGATATTGAAGCAGTCATTGATGGAATAAAAGTATATGACATTTTTTTATGGGGATCATGTAGTAGAAAGAAGAGATCTAGTTTGGGAACGTCTTACGCGTTTCTCAACAACACGAAATGGACCTTGGTTTATGATTGGTGATTTTAATGAAATTACTTGTCATGAAGAGAAGGAAGGGGGAAGGCAACGCACTGATTGCTCCTTCCTGCCTTTTAAGCAGATGCTCAGTGACTGTGGTATGCTGGAGTTCCCTTTTACAGGAAACATGCTTTCTTGGGTAGGAAGACGGGCAGGAAATGCTACTGTTAGATGTCGTCTTGATAGGGCTGTGGGTAATGAGAATTGGCTTGAGAAGTTTCCTCACTCAAAAGTCCAATACTTAAGGCTATGGGGTTCAGATCATCGTCCAATCCTTGCAGATATCCTCAAAAAAAGACACGTAGGTCAAAAAACTTTAAATTTGATAAGTGATGGCTTCAGAATGAGGAACTTCGACAGATTATTCTAGAAGGATGGAAATCACCAGACCTACCCCCAGATGCGAGCATTATGGATCATATTGCAAGCTGTAGACGAGCGTTATGTGATTGGAAAAGACAGCACAATCTGAATTCTGAGAAGAGTGTGGAGGAGCTAAAAGAGAAGGTGGATCGACTATCCTCCAATGATGATGCCACTACAGAGGAGATCGCTGCGCGTTAAAAGAATTGTCTGACGCCCTTAAGGCGGAAGAAATGTTCTGGAAGCAGAAGTGTAGGGTTTTCTGGTTAAGGGAGGGTGATCGTAACACTAAATTTTTTCACGCCCTCACGAAGCAACGAAGAGCGAAGAACAGGATAACCCAGTTATTGGATCCAGATGGGAATGTTGTGGAGGATGAGGAAGGCTTAGTAGCCATTGCTACTAGCTATTTCCGGCAACTTTTTCAATCATCAAACCCTGAGGAGATAGAGGAGGCACTTTCAGAAGTTACCACTACGATTACGCCTGCAGATAATGAGGGCCTCGTAGCACCGGTTTCTGAATGCGAAGTAAAGCTCGCTCTCTTTGCTATGCACCCAGAAAAAGCCCCAGGACCTGATGGAATGACAGCTTTGTTTTATCAAAAAATTTGGGAGATAGTGAAGGAAGATTTAACTCTTATGGTTAATCAATTCCTATTCCACGGGACTATACCGGCTGGTATAAATGATACTAATATTTGCCTTATCCCAAAAGTTGATAAACCAAACCAGATGAGCCAGATCCGACCCATTAGCCTTTGTAATGTTTGTTACAAGATTATTTCCAAGGTATTATGCCAAAGATTAAAAAAGGTCCTTCCAGATAGGATTTCAGAAATCCAGTCAGCCTTTGTTGTTGGGAGACAGATATCAGACAACATAATGATTGCCCAGGAATTGTTCCATGCTTTGCGAACAAAATCAAGTGGACGCAATAAAAGGATGGCAATAAAAACAGACATGAGTAAGGCATATGATAGAATGGAATGGTCTTTCATTGAAGCCACCATGAGGAAAATGGGATTCTCAGAAGTTTGGATTACTTGGATTATGCAATGTGTAACATCAGTAAAGTACAAGGTACTTATGAATGGACAGCCAAGAGGGAATAGTGTCCTGGAGAGAGGTCTACGACAGGGAGATCCTTTGTCCCCTTTCATTTTTATTCTATGCACGAAAGCGCTCGTTAGCCTTCTTAATCACACAGAGAATCAGGGAAAGATAACGGGGATGCGCATCACGCGTGCGTGTCCGTCGGTATCCCACCTACTCTTTGCTGTTGATAGCCTTTTCTTTTGTAAGGCGGAGCCCCGTGAATGTGAAGAAGTAATGAAAACGGTTAGGAAATATGGACAAGCCTCTGGACAATGCATTAATTTTGATAAGTCTTCTCTACTCTTTGGTTAGAGGATTGGTCAAGAAGCCAGGCAGGAGATCAAAGATACACTTGGGATCCAAAGTGAAGCAGGAATGGGGACTTACCTAGGGATACCAGAAAATATCAGTGGTTCGAAATGTAAGCTGTTTGCTTTCTTAAAAGACAAGCTCCGGAATAGAGTGAATGGATGGACGGGCAGGTGGTTATCTAAAGGAGGAAAGGAAGTAATGATAAAGTCAATTTTGTTAGCTCTCCCAACCTATGTTATGTCTTGCTTTTTACTCCCATTGGAGATATGTGATGCTTTGGCTAGTGCCATTGCACAATTTTGGTGGAACTCAAACCCACCAAAGAGAGGCTTACTCTGGACAACATGGGATAAATTATGTTTATCTAAAGAGGAAGGAGGAATTGGCTTCAGGATGATCCATGAGTTTAACCTGGCATTACTAGCAAAGCAGTTGTGGAGATTGGCCCAAAACCCAGATTCCTTGGTAGCTCGAGTTATGAGAGGTCGGTATTATCGACTAAGTTCGCCTTTGCGAAAGGTTAATGTTAGTAGCCCATCATATGTGTGGACAAGCATTTCGGCAGCACGTGAATTGTTGCTTTTGGGGGTTAGACAGAAAATACACTCTGGTTATGAAGTCAAGGTATGGGATAACCCATGGATTCCCACAATCCCAGCAAGGCCAGCGCATGCATCTGCTCCGGTTCTGCATCCGAACATGAGAGTGAGTGATCTTATCAATCAAGAAACAAAGTCTTGGGATCTGGATCGGCTGGCAAATTATGTTGACGCTGCTGACATAACTCTCATAAGGGGTATGGCTATTAGTTCAACACATCGCAGAGACACATACTGCTGGAGTTACACAAGGAGCTATTGGGTAGCTCGAAATATACTAATGAAGGAGGAAGAGAATCTGGTAGATGAACCTAGTATCAAAAGACTCCAAGCTCAGGTTTGGAAGGTTAAAGCACCCCCGAAGATTTGCCATCTTATGTGGCAGATTATTTCGGGACAGGTTGATGTTACGAGTGCACTGAATCATAGGCATATGAGATGCGATAACTTTTGCCCACGATGCGGAGAACCAGATGAAACAATTGCACATGCAATTTCCCAATGCCCGCCGGCATTACAGGTGTGGGCCTTGGCATCTATACCCACCAGTTTAACTTTGTTCCCTTTGGAGAGTACATATGCAAATATGGACTATCTATTCTAGCGGAAGAAGGCCATATGTGGGCCAGAATTAGACAGGGATCCTTATCCTTGGTTAATATGGTACATCAAGAAGGCTCAGAATGATAAGTTGTTCAGAGGAATAGATAGAGACCCTCTAGAACTGGCCCGGTATGCAGAGAGTGAGTGTCTTACCTGGTACCAAGCTAACGAGCAGGAAATTGGGATTACACAAGAGAGCGGCGATACTGATAGTCAGGCCATAATTCTACGAGATATTTGCATGATAGACGGTTCTTGGACCTCTATAGATCAATTCTCCGAGTGTGGTTGGGATTGGAAGGATAGTATGGGAGATAGCCAGCTGATGGGGATGTGTAATGTTAGTAGGGTGGAGTCGGCTTTGCATTCTGAGCTGGAAGCACTGTGGTGGGCAATGGAGAACATGTTTCAACATTCGCCATGTCAGAGCTTTGGGACGGATTGCAAGGAATTGTTAGCAATGCTCAAGAACCCCCATGGATGGCCAAGCTTTTTGACGGAACTGGAGAGGATCTCGACGTTGAGGATTTGTTTCCCAGACTTCAAGATCACTTATGTACCTAGATCTCTAAATGCTGTGTCCGATCACTTAGCTAAGACTGCCCAATCCTTTTATCGTGATCTCATGTATGTTGGTTGTTCTATTCCGGTCTGGATTCCCAGACAACCTCAAGCTTAAGTAATAGATAAGCCTTTCGTTGTAAAAAAAAAAAAAAACACCACTACCATGAACTCTTGCTCGTTTCTTCTCTCCTTTTCATCTTAGCTGTCTATATCTAAATCTTGGAGTTACTGCATCTTATTAAGCTGGTCTTTTGCCTTTAAAATCTAGCAGCTTTTCAAAATTTTAAGTAACTGGAAGAAATGTATTGATTAATGTTTGTGGACGTTTTTGTTAGCCATAAGGGTTATCACCGACTCATTGAACACACTGTCCACGGTTATCATATACTCTTTCTCGCTGGCATTATCTCCATGTCTCTGGCCAAAGTCCAGTGTTTAGAAATGCTCGCTTTTATCAATCTAAAACATAATCACCTGACCTTTTCCACAATTTATTTTTCCATTGCAAATCTAAAATTCTTTATCCCCGATGGCCTCCGTTTTTCTAGTCCTCTTCTGTTCATGACTCTGTTAATGTAAGATAATCAAGCTATATCAAATAGAACACACAGTAGTACAGGGTCAATTCTTCACAAGAAATACGACTAGATTAATTCTTTTAAAAGTACACAAAGTTCTTTATAAAAGCAATTAAACATACAAGCTCAAGACAAACCTTGACTTGTTTGACTAGCCTTACACGTTCAAAGACTCACAACAGTCTCTGAACAACTTAAGCTTTTAACCCCTAGATGCTTTGTCTCTCCTTCTCCGGACTTACAAAACTTCTCTTGCTAAAAGCTCTCTCTGTGTGTTAGCTTTCTTGCAACTCCTAGATCTCCTTTTTATNTCAAGACTTCAATAACTCTTTTATTAATACTCCCTCCAGAACTCGTGCTTCTCTTAATCACTCGTCTTGTAGTCATAGTTCCTGTCGCACTTCATGAACTACTTCTGCACTGCTACACCACCATCTTGAGCATACATCTTCAATCTCCCCCTTTTTAATTCGTTGTCTCACAAGTACCTGAAATGTAATGCCACGAAGACTCCAACCACACACATAACACATATCCAGTTTATACGAATGTAAGGACTAAAATACTCAAGATCAAATGCAACTTAGATTATCCTAAATAAGGTCTGGAGCAAATAGTAATACATCCTTTTAAACAAAAGAAGTACATAAAAACAAAGCTCCCCCATAAACTGAGATTGTCTGAAAATAAGAACAACAAAAAGTTGCAACAAGTGGTGCAACCCAAAAACAACAGAAAGATAAGCTCCCCCACAAACTCAGACTCGTCTACTACTCATTCTTCATCATTTTCTCCCCCTACTTGTGAGCACACGGATTAAAAACCATACAGGAATTAAAGAAGTCAGAAGACAGAATGAAAAGAAAACATACCAGGGACCAAGTTCTGAAGCTCTTGAACAACCTCAACCAGCGTCTGAAGTACTCGAGTTGTGTCCTGTAAAGCTGCTTGCATATCTGCGCTGGTGAGACCACCTTGAGGAATCGCAATTGAGCCTAACTCATATACAGAGATACGACGTGGTCTGGTTCGAGAGCTTGGTGTAGGAGTGGAGGAGACAGTGGCTGGCAATTGAGATGAGCGAGCAGATTTCCTTACCTTAACTTCCTCCTTGGCTTTTCCCTTAGCCTTGCGTTGCTCGTAAATCTCACCCACTCTTTTGTCCTTCTTGTAAGCAATCGGACGATCAACCTTATCAGCAGAGTGCGAAGGTACTTGATGCTGCTTCTGAAGCATTCCCATTATCAAGCGAGGGAAGATCAACCACCTAGAGTCATTCTTCTGAATTACTCCCAGATGGATGATTTGCCTGAAGATCAGTTTTCCCATGTCCACACGAATTCCATGAGCCATCTTGTAGATCAATCGGGCACGGTCAAGAGACACATGTGTCTTATGAGTTGATGGAATCCAGTTGTGAGCAGCAATGATCATAAGAGCTCCAAAACACGGTGTGAGGTCAGCAGTGGTGAGATGATCCCATTCCTTGCGAGTCCCATCAGTGAGAAAGTCTGCAAGTGCAGTGGCAGACACTTCATCCATGGTTGCTTCAATGTCCGCTTTTTCCTCAGTAAGTGACTCAAGACCAAGAGACTCATTGATCACTATTGGAGAAAATCTATAGGAATGAGAGCGAACATTGACCATTACCTCTTCAGTCTCTACTTTTGTAGCCGGTAACCCTGCATAAAACTCAGCCACAACTTGCTCAACAAATACCCCAAGCGATGAGACAGTAGATTCCATAGACCCTTTTTGAATTACTGCAAGATAGCCCCATTGATCCGTGTCCTCCATATCTACTAACCTCTCAGCAATTACCTTACGCTTCAGAAATGCATCATACCTTTGCTTGGCTTCCCCAGGAANCCACAACTTGCTCAACAAATACCCCAAGCGATGAGACAGTAGATTCCATAGACCCTTTTTGAATTACTGCAAGATAGCCCCATTGATCCGTGTCCTCCATATCTACTAACCTCTCAGCAATTACCTTACGCTTCAGAAATGCATCATACCTTTGCTTGGCTTCCCCAGGAATAAGTGCAGAGCCTGACCCAACACTCCTCTTGGATTTACTCCGAGATGAGCCAGATGCTCCCTGTGGTACAGACGGTGACACAGCAGACTCATCCTTCTTCTGCTTCTTAGATGACCTCAAACCTAGACGCTGCAGGACACGCTTCTTCCTAGTAGATTTCTCAGATGTGTCTTCAGAGGAGGAGCCCAAAGAGATAGCATCGTGGTCCTTAGTGGTCTCCTCAATGTGCTTACTTGACTCAGATGCCGCTTCACTTGGATCGTTTGCTTGGACCAGGGTTGTGTCTTTGTGCAATGCCACAATTTGGAGAGGTGACTCATCACTTCCCTTCAGATCTGCATGCGTCTCGGGTTTATTTGTCGAAGTACCTTGCTCACCTTCGACTGGTAAGACCAGATTCACATCAGTGGGAACATGCACAGGCTCCGCAGCATCCTGAGGTGGATCTGCTACAGCCACTGAAGTGCCCTGATTTTCACCGCTACCATCGGATCCAGACTTCTCCTGAGCTGTATTAAACGAAGCAATTTCTTCAGTGACTTCAGGGAGAGTTGTCGAGATCGGTAAATCGTTCAACGGAGGAGTAGGCTCAGGCGGACCATCAGAGAGTTGCATCCGGTGTGATTCAGCTGTTGCATGATCGTCGATCTTGGAACTCGAGGTAGCTGGAGCAGAGTTCGTAGGTTTGCCCATCTTGATTTGGATTCTGTGTAGTGAAGAGAAATTGGAGGTGGAGGCGATGGTTATAAACTTCTGAAGCACGATGGAGATTTTCTAGGGTTGTGCCCCACGACTTTCCTTAGGTGAAACAACCGTCATTAAGTTTTGCACTTCTGGTCCCTGACTTTTACTCCTCTCACAATTATACCTACAACATTAGTAACCTCTCACATCCAAACACATTAGCCTCAGGCACATTTGTGAATTAACAGTGTATCATTAGACACTCAGAATAGCAATCTATAATGAGTTACCATGCATAATTGGCTGAATCCTAAACATAATAAGATTAAGTACCGGTTTAGGTTTCTGATGTGCGGCAGAAGATAGCTCAGAACCTGACTCAGTGTGCACATACGAATCTTCTAGATTATGATGGTCTGGCCTACCCAATTGTCTTTTATGGCTAGCTTTCACATTGTCATGCCTTCATCAACTCTGTAGGTTTTCAACCTTTATTCGTGCGCTGTGAAACTCCCGTGATGAAATACTTTACATTGTAACACATTTTGTTGTTCAGCTGCTTTCTTTTTGAGCTTTGCTAACTGCTTCCCTTTCTTTTCGGGGTAAGAGAGCCACAGATTGACACAAAACCTGTACCTTACAGAGTTGACGGCAAGCCAAGCAGCTCTTTTCCACAGCGTTCTCAGGTTCCAAAAAAAATCTGAATCGTATGTACACCCTGAACCTGTACTTGTACTAATCTCTGCACAACCTAACTCAATCAGTCAAGATTACACACACCAGTAACATTTCTTAATTTAATAAAACGATTAAGTTCAAGTGATTTAGTGAAGATATCAGCCAATTGCATATCAGTAACTACATGTTCGATTACTACCTGGTTGTCTTCAACTAATTCTCTAATGAAGTGGTGCCTGATGTCAATGTGCTTCGTCCTTGAGTGCTGGACTGGATTCTTAGAGATATCAATAGCACTTCTGTTGTC